GAGAAAGTAGATGGAAAGAGAGAGAGATTTGGAATTAGAGAAAATTGATGGATTTGTTTGATTATAACTAGCAAATCAACAAAGAAAATAAGAAACAATGAGCAAACTAAGGCCGATTCAGCCTGAGAAAACCCAGATCTGGAGAGGAAGAAGGGAGAAGAGAGAGAGAGAGAGAGAGAGAGAGAGAGAATAAGAAGAAGGAAAAAGAAGGATGATCTTATTTTGATTTTAATTTAAATTTGTAGAAGTAGCAGGTTTAGGGTTTTGAATTTGAAAAAGAAATGAAAAGAGAAACGAAGAAACTGTGATTTTTGGGAACTTGATTGAAACTGGAAAAGAGAAAACAAATTTTCATGTGGATCCCACTAAAAAGAGAAATTGAGAAGATGACCATCTCACCTGTAAAAATTTTTACGCCACGGTGACAATATTTTTCTTGTTGGATATACACGTCATTAAAATTTTAAAAAGTCAGTGATTTTGTGGCAAGATAACGTGCCACATGTGCACTTAACTGACGGAAGGACAATTTTGGTTCCAAAAATGAAAGTTTAAGGATAATTTTGGTACTTTTTAAAGTTGAGGGACAATTTTGATACCAAAGTGAAAAGTTGAGGGACCAAAATGGTACTTAAACCTTAAGAAAACCCGACGGGTTAAGGGTCAATAACAGGTTAACCCACCGAGTTAACAGGTTTGACCCGTTTACCCGTCTAAAAATTAAAAAATTTTAATTTATTATTTATTTATTTTGTTTTTCAATTCCCAATCTCACTTAAACCTCTCATTATTGAGTAATTTTCTTTAATTAGCTAATTGATTCTCTTAACTCATCATCTTCTAGAAGTAAAAATAATCCCACTCCACTTATGACTCACCTTCCGACCTTTCCTATTCTTGCTTGCTGTGATATTCTCTAAGACTCTAACTCTTTAAAGTTCAAACTCTTCTCATATTCTTCAACCTCCATAGTACATACAGCCTTCGACGTTCAAGCTTCAACTCCACCTTTTGTCTTTAGTCTTTAACATTATCCCAAACTTATATCTTAGTCTCACCAAGTCACCATTGCATTCACTTAACCCTTTCTTTCTTTCTCCTTTGAGTTTGACAAGTGCTCTCTTTGTCACCAACTTTTCTCTCTAAAGCCTTCAAGGTAAGTTATTTACTTATTTATGCTTTTTAGTTTTCTCTCAATTCCAAGTAAAAATTCTACTTGATCTTGTCCTTTGCTTAGATGCATTCAATTGATTGATTCTTTGAAAGCAACAACCAGACAAATATGTTCCAAT